TGGTTTCTTATAATCTACCAAAATCACCTTGCTGTGTTTACGTTTTCCTGTAATTCAGTCATTATCTAAACGGGATTATTTCGTGAGCGGGCAGGTACCTAAGGCCCGACAAGAATGTCAAATTGAATTAACCTTCCGTCGCGGGTAACGTGAGGAGTGATTATGAATATTAATATGTCGCCGACACTCCAGGGTAGCGGCTGACTCTAATTCGCATAGACAAATCTGTCGTCTTCCTTATCTATGGCCGCATAATCCCTATGGTGCTAACTTTAGTCTTACATAAATTAACGGAAACAATGTAAATGTACCTACTGAAAATTAAGTTTCATAAAATTGTATGGTCATCCATCAATATATTAGAAATTGAGTTGCAAGTCATGAGTCAGTTCTTGATGACCAATAGCGTCTAATCGTACTTCGAGAAAAGCAACTTGCCAAAGTATATTAATATGTAATACATTTAGCCGTTAGTGTGGGTTACACCAACTCACTTTAACTGTTCAGTTAAAGTATAGGTAACGAGTTGCACCACCATTTGTAGCTATTCAAAATTAGGTCATAATTTGATAAGGAGCTCGATGGCGCAGGTGGCTAGCGCGTTCGGCTGCGTTCGTTGAAGTTAAGCAACTTTCGCGATGGTCGGTCATTGGATGGGTGACCAAAAATCTTCTATCTCGAGTTCCTCCGTGCTTCGGAAGGCACGTTAAGCCGCTGGTCCCGGCTGCATCTGCAGTCGTTAGTACCCGCCAATCTGCACTGGACCCGCGTGGTTGATGACCCAAACTCCCTATTCCATCCATAGGGATGGCCTGTGTCCCAGCAGTGGGGACTTTAATAGGCTGATGATGAATAAATGTCGCGAGGCTAGCTAAAGTTATAATAAAATTGTACTTTAACCAGCTCTGTGGTGCTACTCACACTAAAAGGTAATGTCTCTTCAAGACACGTGACAACGATATACGTGAGAGCGGCTTTTAAATGGCAAATACATACTAGCTTGACCTGAGTTTAGAATATGCATCGTTATTTAAGTCAGCACTTGTAAGGGATCCTTTTGTTCAATTATTAGTCTTTTACTCCCTTATATTAAACAAGTAATAAGCTTAGACTAGTTACGCTGTGATTTGTTTATGTCACTGAAATGCCATTTGTCATTCAACGAACAAGGATAAAAACATCGATTAACTAATCCAAGTTAATTCTTCGTTTATTAATAAGGGGATTCGAGTGCAAAATAGGCTCCAACATTTACTTGCCATGTTTCTTTTCTTTCGTTTTTCTTCTTTGCATAATAATTATAGATGTTTTAATCTGCCAATGTCAGGCGCCCAGACACTTTTTTCTACGCAGCCAGTAAATCACTGTAATATGGGTGTGCTTTGAATTAATTTCGTTGTATGTCGACATAATTTACTCGTCATAACAAAAGCTTGTAAACTTCACACGGCGCTAATTCGTGTCAGTTTAAATCCTCCGCTTCGATAGCTAAGATAAAGCCGTAATTAAGGGCCTTCGCGATCGATTAAGTTAAGCCGAGTTTAAACAGAAGCTAACTCCGGGAGAAAGGTCTACTCCGCCGTGAAATGGCATTAGGTTTTCGCGCGTTTTATGCGCTTCTTGATAGGGCTACCAAAATGTTTCTCTCCATTATATTGTATAGGGAAGATGCAAATATAATATTTATGAAAATTTTATGATTAAAATGTTAAAAAAATATAAAAGAAAGGCCACTGCAACGTTTTTATTTTACATAATGTTGTTTTTTAACAATAATTACGAATTAAAAATGACTTCAAAAAAACGTATTTTAAAACACCAATCGGTGTTTAGTGACGTCACTCGTGTTATGATAACTTATTAGAGGTTATGGTTGTAAAAGTGAATATTATTTTATGGGAATATTAATTGCGTTTTTTAATAAAAATGGAAGTTGGGTTTATCAAAACAGACTCCAGGAATTTACCAAGAGTTAGTGTTGACATGGTTGTAACTTTTTTTGTCCAAAGTGCAGAGTTTTCAAGTGTAGGAATGAAAGGGACTAAATTACTACGGTATGTATAAATCATAGTTGTTAAACTTTGTATTTTATTCAGCGGCTTCTACACATAGCAGTTATTTCAGCTCAACAAGAGAGTCTTACGGCGATAACGCAATCGGCTATGCCCAAATTAAAAGAGATGGAGTATTATGTATAGTAACAGGTCGAGTTACTCGGATCATATAGTACGTAAAGAAGGTTATTGTGTTACAGTTATTTTAAATGAAACGCAAGGCTTGGTCCAGTCCTGCCAATGTGAAGATTGTGCCACACATTTTCGACGTCATTCTCCAACTGTAAAATTAAAAGTATGTTATAGACAGGTTTTGTAAGTATTAGGTAGTTTATTAACGCGTTTTTACGTACAAGCAGCATTTAACAATTAAGAACAATTAACATTAATTAAGCATTTAACAAGTATATTTGCCGACATACGTCAAAGTGATCTTCACAGCATCGAATAATGGTCTTTGGAGAATAATTGTCTTTTCTCTTCACAGCTTGAAACCACTTTTTTCTCAGTTTTGGGTCAGTTAAATTAATTCAATCAAAAGTCAAAAACAATTTATTCGGAAACTTTGTTGAAGTAGATGGACACATTGGCACAAAATGTGAGTCAACACGGCTTTTTTCGGAATATTAGTGGTATTGTTATGACCACCTGATGTTGATGGATAGTCCTTTTTAAATTTTTACAAAAAATATCTCTAATGTCGAAAAAAATATGCAAAAGCATGAAAGCCAGCGATGAACAAGTACGACCAGTGACAGACAGGAGTGACGTCATCGGAATCATAGGTTCGCGCGAAAATTTAAACTGTCAATTTCAAACCGCATTTTTTCCGATAAATTACAATGTTTTAATTTCTTAATATATCTGTGGTTTATTCTTCATGGAATTCTTTAAAATGAAAACAAAAATAAAAATATTGCATCTGCCCTATTATGCTTCTTTATTATTACTGACTTATTTATTTCTTTATATTATGTACTTACATCTATAATAGAAGTAGTGTTAAACCACTAAAGAATTTAGTGCTACGAAATAATAATAATTTTATTTTCAATTTGTGTTACAATTGTCATTCTTAAAAATATAGGAAGTATATTTGTAACACCGGTGAAACGATTCCCGGGAACAGTGCGTCCGGCAATAAAATTATGGCTAAAAACTACGAATTCATTTAAGCAAAACCACAAAAAATTCTTCAATTACCTAAGTGTAAACATTTTCCTCGGAGATATGCGCGAACAACAATAAAAAAATATATAATGATGAATTAAGAACCTCCACTTTTTTAATTCGGTTATAAACAACAAAACGTAACGTTGTTCTAGCGATGAGAGATGAACGAGATCGTAAATCAGATACGCCGTGTCTGTTTTAAAATAAAAACACTCTTAAAATTGATAATTTCCGTTTTCGTTTTATGAGAAATAAAATATACTTTGATTTTTTATTCTAAATATAGAAAAATATTTACATTAGTAAGGCCTACTTGCAAGTGGACCTAAATCTTTTTGTTCACGGGCGAGGGTTACAATTTTACCTTTAATCCTTATTATTATCTTCCCATTTACTGTTGCAAAAATAATTAAATAATTATGGTGTTACATGAAAATATTATATTACTTGCTAACAGTATTTAATTGACTCGAATTAGTGAAAACACATGCGGCAGCCCTATTTTAGGCAAGAGTTGCTAAGAAAGGAGGATGGGCTCGGATTTAACGAGAGATTGACTTAATTACGGACGCTCGTAAATTAGCGGAAGTATTTTTGATTGATACGATTTGAAAGGATTTGTTCGTTGATCACGGTGTTCGACCGAAATTTTTGAAACAGCTTTGAAGGGACGATTAAAATATCGACGGACAGATTCACGAGTCTATTTATTAAACACTGTCCGTGGAAAATTAATATTTGATTCTTTCTTAATTTGTTTAACATAAACTTAACATAAAGCATGGTTTGACAAAATAAAACATATTACAGTGACTTAAAACAAAGAAATTACTTTAATATAGTTCAACTTTTCAGTAAATACTTGAATATAATAAAAATGGAATATATTCTGCTGACGTCAATATTTAAATAGTTATATATATATATTACGTCAGCACGATATCTTCCATTTTTACTTCTCCGTCAGTCGTTATCACTATTTTTACTGAACTTTCCATTGTGTCTCATCAATTTTCATACAGTCTATCTAATTTCTCTTCAGTCTTACCCTTACAATTTACTGACATATCAGTTAGTATTAGTTCAAAGAAGGATCAAGGAAAACTACTATTAGAATATCTTAATAGCATTCAAAAATCGTATGAACGCTTAACTACATAGAGTTCTGTTTCCCATAACAAATTAGAATTTTCCTTTTATTTCTGTAAACATTTACCTTACACCGGTAAATCGCATATCATTCAAGATGGTAATTAATTAAGTTTTCACCCCCTTGGCTCGGCAGCAGTACTTCACAAAAGTCCGTTTCATGTTAAGGGGCAGTTAGAAATTACTGTAATAATTAAATCAGGCATTCTTTCCAACTTTGGCATTAATATTTTAGTGGAGGCTTTGACAGGGCAATTCCGTCTCGAGTACCTCTACCCTTCTGTTTATGCTATGAGGTGGCTAGTAATTAGGGTTGCTGAAATATTTATAATTTATATCGATATAAATCTTAACAGCATAAAAAAATATTTACCTAATTTTAATTTTGAATTTTTTTACAGTTTGGTGTTTTACATTGAATTATGTAGAAAAAATTGCGTCGGTTAGTACCAAGTAAAAATTACTTTTCCAATATAGACAATGTATTAAAATAGTCAGTTTGACTATACCTTTAAAATGTTATATACCAAACGGTACTGGAGTAATTAACATACAAACTTTTACATTTATCATTTTAGTAGGATAATAAATAAGCAGGTACCGAAATGTTAAAAAGTTTCATACCCAAAAAAACCGGCCTAGTGCAAGTCGGACTCGCGCACCGAGGAGGGTTTCGTACAAACCTGTAGGTATATAATAATTATTAAAAAAATGTGATGTCACTAAAAATTTACGGTTTTCGCAATCTTTCTTTTATCTGTGCTATAAGACGTTGCTTCGTACCAAATTTCAAGATTCTGAGTTCACGGGAAGTACCCTGTAGGTTTTGATTCTCTGGTGAGTTTCGAAAATTTGCGGCAAACACTACTGCAACTTTTGATTGCGTTAGCTTATAATTTTGATTTTTCTCCAAGGGACAGTAGACCTAAGTATTTGATATAAATTTCAGCTTTCAGACGGACGGACGGTGGGACAACAAAGTGATCCTATAAGGGTTCCGTTTTTTCCTTTCGAGGTACGGAACTAGATTTAAATTATATTCAATTGAAAATTTACTAAATAATATGTTAAATTTAAAAAAAGTTCTTCATACTAACATTTATCCCACTGTAAATCTTTAAGGTGTTTGCCGAATTCAAAACTTGTCGCATCACTAGAATTTCTGTTGCGTGACGCGGCCGTTTCCTGCAACATTATGAATCGCCTTAAATGTTGTACGAAATGTCAGTTTGACCTTATGTTAAGTGTTGCTGCCCCTGAATTATTCGACGACCCTCTTTGATCTATGAAATGCGCCCTTTTCATATGATTGCTGTCAATTCAAACAAGTACTTTGTTGAAAATGTCACTTTTATGGATTCTACCGTTGTTTGAGTTTCTATAATGTAATAAAACATGAGATGTTCTTAAACGGGGTTTCAAAAGACAACTTCTGAATAGGTAAGATTTTTTTTTGTAAGTGTTAGGCTAGGGCATATCAAAAGGAAAATATATATAACTTTCTTATTCAGATAAGAAAAGCTTATAAGCGGTGATTGAATTTTGTTGTTAATTATGTTACTCAAATCCACTTTGTCTCTTGGCCAAATATTTGCTCCGCGTAAGGGATAGATGCATACATACATAGTACTAATATTATAAAGCTGAAGAGTTTGTTTCTTTGGTTGAACGCGCTAATCTCAGGAACTACTTCGTATTCTGTCTTTATACGTTCGGTTTAATAGTGCATGAATCGAGGAAGGGCATAGGCTGTATAACATAACACTACGACTAATAGAAGCGGAGAACCATTGAAAAATGTCGCAAAAACGGTAAAAGTTACACAAGATCATGTATGACGGAATAGTTCCCCATTCCACAAAAGTTCTATTGAAAAGTCCGCGACAATACTACACATAATTATAACTTACTACATAATTATTATGTCTATCTTTCAAGGGCGACCCACTATTCCCTTTATCCTCAAACTAATGCGGGTGAAACCGTAGGGCATCTCTAGTTACGAATATACAGGTGACTAACTTCAATAAAATAAATTTCAGTTTATTCTGAAAAGAAATTTTTTACCAGTGTGTTCTATTTGAAAATAAAATATACAAGGAAGGCGAGATAGCTACGCCAGGTGTTACTAATGTTCTTGTTTAAAATTCGCGAATAATTTAGGCTGAGTCAACAATAATTATCTTTCTTTAAAAGTTTTTTTTGGGAAAGCATTTTAATTTAGTACAGCAACTGTTGTTCAAATATGCATAGTTATGTATGTATATATAATAATATTTCTAGTCAGCAGACCTCATAATATTCGAAAACAACTCACCAAATTGTCATATTGACGACCTCCGTGGTCGAGTGGTTTGTACGCCGGGTTTCACGGTGTCGCCGACTCGAGAGGTCCCGGGTTCGAATCCCGGTGGGGGCAGATGTTTGTGTGATTAATACGAGCATTTGTACTCCAGTCATGGATGTTTAATATGTATTTCTATATAAATATACTTATATATGTACGGTATATATAGTCTATCCTTTACCCCTAGCATCCCATAACACAAGCCTTACAGTGCTTACTTTGGGGCTAGGCTAATTGCTAATTGGTGTGAGTGTTGGAAATATTTATTATTATTATATGTAATTGTTTTTTGAAGTAACGTCAAGTCAGGTAATAATGTTAATACACTGTGGAGAGTTAATATCATTGTGTAGTAAACTAATTAACTAATTTTCTTAATAAATATACGTTGATACCAGCTTACTACACTAATGTTGTAAGTATTTATATTTATTTATTTGTGTGTTGTCAACTTGATCGTACCATATAAACTTAATATCACTAAGGGCTGAAACTCTGAATAATTTTCCCTATTTTTCCCCAAAACGTGAATAAAAATATTTTGGTTTCTTACTTTATATCCTTGTTCTCTTTGATAATTTGTTGACACTAGCATAAAAATAAAACTACCGATTCTCGTGTGTCACAGTTGTAACTCACCCGTGGAATTCTTCCTGGGTTCGTTAAGGGGCACGCTGGTAAGGGTGGCCGGATCGGAAGTGCTATAGCGGCCCGCCGAGACATTTTCTATTCAAATTACCTGCAGCGCGACACTGCTGAGTCGGTCCCATAACAGTATACTAATGATAGTGCACTTTTCATTACTGCTTCGCTTCTTAACGTAGCATTCAATGGTCTTATTTAAGGTAGAATGTATATTTAGCAACTTAAACTTGTGTTCACTATTAAAATATTTGGTAATGGCATTGTCTGAGCAGTAGACGACATGTCTGATGGTTTCCGTTCCGCACTTGAATATATGCATGGAAGTTTTCCTTAGTTTTACAGATAGGAAGAGTTTTTAGTGCTTAATTAATAAGGGCAGTTTTTGAAAACCTACCTACTTACAGGTTAGGTTTGCATTTGACTATACTAACCGTCAAACTAACCTGAGGAGCTCGATGGCGCAGGTAGTTAGTACGTTCGGCCTGCGATCGTGGTAGCTAAGTAACTTTCGCAATGGTCGGTCATTGGATGGGTGACCAATAACTTATTATCACGAGCTCCTCCGAGCTTCGGAAGGCACGATAAACCGTTGGTCCCGACAGTATTTGCAGTCCGTTAGCAGCTACCAATATGCACTGGGCCGCGTGGTGGGCCACGGCAATCTCACGGCCCTGCCGTGGCTCAGCAGTGAAGACATTAATTGGCTGATGACGATGATGAACCGACTAACTACTCAAGGGCCCATCATCAGTTTAATATAATATGGTATCACAATTGTATGTTTATAATTTGACTTTGCATACCTAATTATATATATAGTGTTTTAAAGTAAGTAAATAACACCGAAGTATAAATGATTTTAAGCAAGGTCATTTAAAGAGGTACGATATACCGTTAAATAAATAAAGATAAGCGTTTCACCTTTGTCCGGAATAGTATCTTAATGAAGTATTTATATATTGTTGCCGCATTCGATACTCGGGTACTTCTTTCAGATACAAGAATAAGCGTAGTTTGTTTTGTAACAATAACAAAAGATGTCTAATGAATGCTTTTGTAAGTGAGTGAACATTAAATAACTGGAAATGAGAAATGAAATGTTACTTACAAAGATATTATGATACTTGCATTTATAGAAATTAGTAGTAAGTTCTTTTTTAAATTTCTACTACTGGAAGATTCATACACGAAAGTCATAAATACGTTTAGTAAAGGAAAATTAACCATAATATATTTTAATGAGGAAATCCGTGAAAGTAGAATGACCGTCATAAGTAACTCAATGGCTGACCAAGCTTTTATCCACTGTTTCTTAGGTTTTCACGCACATCACTCATTCAATAAATCATTTTTTACGGGTTAGATGCACTGAATTTATTTATCTGACGTTTCGCAGCCTTTGCAGAACTGCGTCTTTAGAAATAATTATTTCAGAAGACTCAGGCTACGAAACGTCAGATAAATAAAAGGCTGCGAAACGTCAGATAAATAAATTCAGTGCATCTAACCCGTAAAAAATGTTTTATTTAATGAGTGATGTGCGTTTGCAGGACTGCGTCTTCAGAAATAATTATTTCTGAACACGCCGTTCCGCAAAGGCTGCGAAACGTCAGATAAAAAAATTCAGTGCATCTCACCCGTAAAAATTAATAATAATGACATTCTCTACAAAAAGTTGATATTTTAGTTTTGGAACGGGTACAGAACACGATTTATTACGATTATTGATTCTATTCATTTAATTTTTCTTGACGTTTCGGATTCTTTATAGGTTTCCCGGTCGCAAGCGCAAAAAAGATTCAAAAACTGTAAAGTACCCGAAACATTAAGAAAAATAAAAAAGTCACTAAATCACGCCTTATTACCTACTCAAAAAAGGTAAAATAAAATTATTGGTGTGCGGAGGCGTACAAACATTATCTCTATGCAAAAGTTATCGTAGCCGCTTTTGCGGTTTAGTATGCGATCGTTTTACAGAGACAAAGTTATTTACGCCCTTAGGTTTATAATAATATTATTAGATAACTATGAATATTTAAGTTATTGAAACGTCAATAAATAAATAAAGTTTCGTGCATTAACCCGTAAAAACTAGTTTTATTTAATGAGTGATGTGCGTGAAAACCTAAGAAACAAATATGAATGTTTTCTTAAAGTTCCGTGGAAACTTTTATAGCAGCATAATTATTTAGGTTCGCAGCCTGAATAATTATGCTGGGTACTGTCTTTTGGACACGAATAAACTTCATTTCTCCTTTCTTAAATACAAAATATTATAAATATTATTTATTTTAAAATGTTGTCTTAGATAATTAAGTATTTAAAAATCTTATGGTATGGTACATGTATGTCTTAATTTTATTTACATTTGTATGCACAGTACCCCTAGCACAATCCATTATCGAATTCGAATAGTTTGCAAACCGAAATGTCAATGTCAAATTTTGTATGGAAACTTGAACAGCAGTGGCACAAAGTACGTAACGAGAACTAAAAATCAGTACAGATTTGACAATGACATTTCGGACTCGCAAACGTTACGAATTCGATTTTGGTTCGTGCTAAGGAAACTGTACCTATATGCACATGAGTTAAGTAATGCAGTTGCGAAAGTGGAGCACACCTTTCACTGGCCTTCCTCGTGGTGATGTTGGTACCAAAGCGAATGGTTTTTTTGCACTCCCACGTATACCTTCGATAGCTCAGTTGGTAGAGCGGTGGACTGTAGCTGGTAGCAATTGTAATCCATAGGTCGCTGGTTCAAATCCGGCTCGAAGGAGATCTTTTTTTTAAACTTAACTATACCTATAAGACTTTTTGACTAAACGCCCTGGCACTTGATTTCTTTGTTATAGCACAACACACAGAGTGACGTGGCTCAAATATCAATAATGGCTTGCACAGATGAGGGACTTTTGTCCGCGGAGGACTCGTAAAAAAATGTCCACCGAGAACTTGTGTGCAAAAATCTGTTGCCAGAAAATTTAGAGAAGCCCTCGCTATGGAAGCAAATATTTTGAGATTACGTTAGGATAATATAATTAACACGAAGATTAAGAAAAGGCGGAGACGTTTTAAAAGAGAATATTGGGTCCACCCCTTTAATTCGTATCGAGCGCGCCACGCGGTATAAAATTCATTGTGCGCTTTGATGTGCCTAGTCAGAAGAATATTTTTTTTTACAGGGACACTCGCGTTCTTTTGTCCAGTCCGGTCTCTCGGTGTCCTCGGTCATTCGGGGGACTTTTTGTACGCGATACTTTCAATCCATGCAGTTGTAAGCGATATTAATCGCGATCGATTTATTTTAGATTGATCGAGAGAGCGATCTATTTTAGCGAACAAAAAGGTCCTCGTACAAAAAAATTCCAACACACACCAATTAGCCTAGCCCCAAAATAAACACTATAAGGCTTGTGTTATGGGATACTAGGATAACGGATAGAATACATAATACTGTCTGTACATATATAAGTATATTTTTATAGAAAATACATATTAAACATCCATGACTGGAGTACAAATGTATTTATCACACAAACATCTACCGGGAGACGGGATTTGAACCCGGGACCTCTCGAGTCGGCAACACCATGAAACCCTGCGTACAAACCACTCGGCCACGGAGGTCGTCATTAATAATTATAAGAATTGTCGTAATAATTATTCACTTTGAGGGAGGGAACAGGAAATAACGTGTAAGGTTTTTTTTTTAAATGAAGTACTCACCCGAAATATAGTGGTAAAATCTAGACGCGAAATTAGCTGGCGCAGCAGTTACTGAAGTATTTGATAAGTGCAGTTATTTTGAATAGACAGTTGTAAAGCTGCCTGCTGCACTAACTCGATTCCCCAATTAATATGATAATGCGCATATATGCGTCGGATTCGACAAGGGCGCAATACCCCGGGTATTGCGCTATATATAAGCTTCTCCGCTCCGACGTACGAAACTGTTTTGAATCGCAAATGGTTCTTGAGCCACAACGTAGGACTTAGTTTCCAGGTGCATAAAAAATTGGTAGGTACATTTTATTATTATATATTATTTTTTGGAGGAGCTCGATGCCTCAAGCGGTTAACGCGTTAATCTGCAATAGCTTTTTTTTCGATTTATTTGGTTATACAAACAGTTATAAAATAAGTACATAAGAATTCAGTATTGGTAATAAGATAAATACGATACGATACTTTGAAACTAGCACCGTTTACAACTTATATATAAAATACATATTAAAATAACATTGAGTGTGGTGATTATCTAAGTTAGTATTGCTAAATAATGTCGATTAACAACGAAACTAATTAAGTTTGATGATTTGATTTTAAATACAAATAAGAAATCTAATGGTGTTTTCAAGTATCTTGATAAATCAAAACCATAATGTAAGTCATCATCAGTTAAACATATTATTTTTATGTTCTAAGTTTGGTAATTAACATCTTTTTAAAAATATTATTGAATGAAACACCTCGTTTGTAAGATTTTACTAAACTGTGAATGGGGGATCCTTTAACAGCATTAGTTCGACATCGATGTGTTGCAAACAACCGACAAGGTGTGCGAGTATGAGTTCCAGTGGGTACTTTATAACATAATTAATTAACTATGGTTATACAATCACAATCATATCTGTTATTAGATAAATTATAGAGCATTGTTGCACTAAGGTACGTACGTCTATCTTTAAGACTAATTAGTTGGTATGAATTGAGCAGTTGGTCGTAGACGTAGTTTTGTTAACCCCGAAAGTATTTAAAGTATTTAACGTAAAAATTTCTTCTGAACTCTTTCGAGTGCCTCGATATATTTGGATACGTTATTAGGGAAAAGTTTGTATTTAAAATTAGCTACATCCAAAAACTAAATATTGCTTCATGATCAATTCAAAAAGAAAAATAAAATATTGGCAAAAATAAGACTACTCGTAAGACTTGGTAAGTTAAAATAAAATTAATTAAATTGTAAGTTTGTGGTATGTCAAGAAACCAATATATGGGATTTGAACTGCAAATTTCTATTTAAGATGGCATACATTCGAAACATTGTTTATCTTGCTTAAAATTTACGTTAAAAAATGATTGGATTTTATTTTTTTGTGACTTTTAATGTAAGAACAATGGTTTATCGGCTTATCATAAGACAGAG